ATATTAATCACAGTTTTCTCGGCTTTTTGGCTATAATCAAGATATTAAATGTGTAAAGAGTTTTAGTATTTCAGTATTTATTTATTAATATAAAAAAAAGAGTTTTTATAAAAAAAAAAATTACTTAAAAATTATTTAAAGAGTTTAATTCAAATTACAAATTACCTACTAAAATTCATAAAAATTAATTTAAAGAATTTAATTCAAATTACAAATTACATAATAAAATTCATAAAAATTAATTTAAAGAATTTAATTCAAATTACAAATTACTTAACAAAATTCATTTTTCTTGTCCTGCATTAGTTTTGAGTTATAAAGGATTACATAGAAGCCTCTTATAAAACTATAGATATAAAATCACACATTTGTCGGCCTTTTGGCTAACCTTTCTTGACCTTCTAGCTAAGATAAAGTGTAGTACTAAATTTTTTTTGGCCTTTTGGCTAACTTTTTTCTATCTTTCAGTATTTTCATATTTATTTATTAATTAATATAAAAAAGAGTTTTTATAAATAAAAAAAAATTACCTAAAAATTATTTAAAGAGTTTAATTCAAATTACAAATTACCTAATAAAATTCATAAAAATTAATTTAAAGAGTTTAATTCAAATTACAAATTACCTAATAAAATTTATTTGTCTTGTCCCACATTGGTTTTGAGTTATAAAAGATTACATGAAAATCTCTTATAAAACTATAGACCTAAAGAAATATTAATCACACCTTTCTCGGCTTTTTGGCTAACCTTTCTCGGCCTCTTGGCTAAGATCAATTGTAGTACTAAAATTTTTTGGGTCGGCCTTTTGGCTAACTTTTCTCAGTCTTTTATTTTTGCTAAGATCAAGTGTAGTATTAAATTTTTTTTGGTCAGCCTTTTGGTTAACCTTTATTGGCCTTTTGGTTAACCTTTCTCGGTCTTTCAGTATTTATTTATTAATATAAAAAAAAAAAATTTATAAAAAAAAATTACCTAAAAATTATCTAAAGAGTTTAATTCAAATTACAAATTACCTAATAAAATTCATAAAAAATAATTTAAAGATTTTAATTCAAATTACCTAATAAAATTTATTTTTCTTATCCCATATTGATTTTAAGTTATAAAGGATTACATGAAAGTCTCTTATAAAACTATAAACCTAAAAAAATATTAATCACATCTTTTTCGGTCTTTTGGTTAACCTTTCTCGGCCTTTTGCCTAAGATCAAGTGTAGTACTATTTTTTTTTTTGTCAACCTTTTGGCTAACCTTTATTGGTCTTTTTTGACTAAGATTAAGTGTAATACTAAATTTTTTTGTCGACCTTTTGGCTAAACTTTTTCAGTTTTTCAGTATTTCAATATTTATTTATTAATATAAAAAAAGAGTTTCTATATATAAAAAAAAAATTTACCTAAAAATTATTTAAAGAGTTTAATTCAAATTACAAATTACCTAATAAAATTCATTTTTCTTGTTTCACATAGATGAAAGCCTCTTATAAAACTATAAACTTAAAGAAATATTAATCACACCTTTCTCAGTCTTTTGACTAATATATATTTCAAATTGTATATTTTAAATTATAAAACTCTAAAAATTATTACCTAATAAAATTCAACCCAAATAATATAATAAGTTACAAAATATTTATCACATGTATCGTACGTGCCTTTTACTAGTGTGTGTGTCTGTATATATATATTAGTTACACTCAATAACCCGAAGTCTTGATTTGATAGAAGACTTTACTGTAATTTTTGTTTTTCTCTGTGATAATTATTTTTAATTTTCTTTTCCTCTATGATCATTATTTTCAAGCATAAAGCTAGACCTATTCATCCATGACACATATGCTAATAATTTAATACAATTTGGCATTATAAACCAAGAGGTCCTTTTTTTCATTGAAAAATTGAAAGACAGCTAGCCTTTGAAAAGTTCAGTGACATATATATATATATATATGGCATTATAAACCAAGAGGTCCTTTTTTTCATTGAAAAATTGAAAGACAGCTAGCCTTTGAAAAGTTCAGTGACATATATATATATATATATATATATATATCAATTTTTGACTGGATCATTTGAAAATTCAAATTAAGAACCTATATAATTTAATAAATTTATGAATGTTTTTTTTTTTTTTTTTTTTGTCATAATAAATTTATGAATGTTGCAGAGTCTGAAAATAATTAAAACATTGAATTTGGATCTTATTCTATATGATCCACCGCACAAAAAAAGTTAGTAATATAAAAAGTCAATTCAATTTATAAACTTGGATTTTTTAATTAATTGATAGAATTATGCACCGAGAATTAATTGTGTGCTTCATAAAACAACTTATTTAGGCATATTCACACACATGTACTTATTATAATTATATACTGTATGACCCAAAGTCTTGATTGGATAGAAGACTTCACTTTAAATCATAAACTCCTTTTTCTATGGATAATTCATTTTCAGGCCCAAGTCTTCAACCAATGCATGTGCTTTGGAAGACTTGGGCCATATAATTTTCATTTATAATGGTAAGTATATTTGTACGCACGTGTTACCCTAAGATTTGAATTCTCAAAGACATACCCATCCATTCAAGTACTTCGGTGATTCCAAAAAAAAAAAAAAAAAAAAAAGAAAAAAAGAAAAAAAGAAGGAGAAGGAGAAGGAGAAGGAGAAGGAGAGTACTTCGGTGATAAATTATGAACACTTTTAAAGCTCTAAGTATTACTCGGTTCAACTTTAAAAATTAGTTTATTTTTTGAATTTTTTTTTTAGAATACGTGTATCGATTTCATAACACACACATTATTTAAGTTAGGGGTGCAAATATCTTAAGAATTTACCTTCCAAATCCCTGTCAATACCGGTATGCCCCTTGGACTTTTTTTTGAGCCTTCAATAACTAAAAAATATTAATTATTATTATTATTATTATTTTATTCTAGTAAGAAACTTACCAAAGAAAATGCAGTTCAATGATAATGGTATAACTTTTCCATCCTCCTAGAGAAGGAGAGGAGTTCAACTCCGAAAAGGGCATGTAGCTCAATGATATAACCTCCCCATCTTCAAAGAGGAAAGGAGTTCAAGCTCCAAAAGGACATGTAGCTTAGTGGTATAATCTCCCATCTTCTAAGAGAAGGAAAGGGTTGTAGTCCGACTAGACAAAAAAGTGTTAGCATATTCTGAACTTCCGGGCAACCCTTCAAGTTTTTGGCTCAATTGCCAAAAACTATTTACCATCATCGTCTTGAAAGTTAGACATCTTACATGAATTGGCCTGAGCCCTTAAAAATGCTCTTTGGGAGCGAATCACAACGGACATTAACTAAAATACTCATCCCGGAACAGGGAACTAGAGCAATAACTGATTATTCCATTCATTCAAATAATGCAATAACTGATTATTCCATTCATTCAAATAATTCAAAACTTTTATTTGGTTGACAGTCAATATATATATATATATATATATATATATATATATATATAAAAGAATATAAATTCCGAGAATTATATTTTGCAATTCTCCAAATTTTTATTTCTTTCTTTATTTATTTTTTAAAGCATTAGTACTTCTTTTTCTTTTCCATTTTATTATTTGAATTTTTATTCTCTTCTATAATTGATAAACACATGCTTAAAATTTGGCCAAGGAAAAACAAACATAAGATCAAAGATTATTTGACAACATGAAATTTTTATTAATGCTTTAAATGTTTGAAATCTAGCAGCCGTATCCCAATTTTAGTCATTTTATAACAAAATTTCAAAAAAATTCCAAAAAAAAAAAAAAAAAAATAGAAGATTATGTCAAAATCAAAATTTAGGGTAAAGTTACTGAGTAGCAAAGGAGGCCCCTTTTATATTTGTAAGAATACTCAATTGTTAATGCTCTATTTAAGAGAATTTACCATAATAATTATAGGACAAATAGAATTTGGAGATATTTTTATTTTTCCTAGTTAATTTTGAGATAAAATTGCTGTTAGCATGTGGAACTTTCACATTATCAAACAATTAACAACTGATAATAACTCTTTTTGGGGCTTAAATATCTATTAATTAAAGAACTATCACTTTCAAATTAAGAAAGCCCCTTTAAAAAAACACTAAAATAAGCCAAACAATAAAACAGTCAGAAATAACACAATAGAGCAACTTACCACACATCCTGACATCCACACAAGAAAAATTCATGCTTTCATTTAGTATGAGTTGGCAACTAGTGATTGTAATCAAATGAAAGTTTTCTTGCCTTGAAAAAAAAAAACACACACACACACAAGAAAATTCAGTATAAGCTATTGCCATTTTGATTAGTAATTTTTCTTGCAATTATTTTTTTCCTGAATTTTTTCTTGCAAATTCAAGAACGAGTTTTTGTGGATCTCACAATTATTTCAATCATAATGGTTCACTTGTATCATCACAATAACGATTACTCATCTAACTGATTATAATTCAGTCATATAAAGCGAAATTGGAAATTGTCGAAATAACAAAACTTAGATTACACAAAGTGAAATGATAGCGAGAGCAATATCCCTTTAAAAGAATTGTATAACTTAAAGTAAGAATAAAAAACGCCTCTCATTAGTCCAAAACTCAAATGGTGCAAAATAAATAAATCTCACAACAATTATTTTTTGGATTAAATTTCTAAGTGTAGTTACAAATTTAAAATTCATTTACTAAGTACTAACAAAACAAGTTTAAACTTCTATTTATCATTATCACTTTCAAAAACAATATTAATATTAACTGTATCATTTTCATAAAGAAATTATATTCATACTCTAATATTTTCTTTTCTTTTCTTTTTTCTCCATAACTTTTAAACTCTATCTAAAAAAAAGAGTGTAATTTTTTTTCATTGTGTTTATTTTAAATATCCGCAAAAAATCATCAAAGGACATTTTTTTTCCTAAGTATTCCTTCTTCTACAGCAAACGACGTCGTACAAACTAAAAGCTCAATAGGATAATGTATGCATGTAATCCAAATTGAAAGGTCAAAAAGCAACTCATTCTATCATCACTCTCACTCTTGCGAAAGAAGAGGAAGAGCCAGCAATCAATCTTTGTATTGAGAAAATGTCAGTTTCAGCGATTCTCGGTTGCAGAGTGGCGGTGGTGCCCAACACTTGTTCCTTCTCATCCTCCGTCGCCGGCAGTGGTGCAATCAAGTTAAGTCCAATCGTAGGCGCTAATGGCGGCGGCGGCGGCGGCGGTGGGTTAGTGATAGAGTGTTCGTCGCGGCCGAAGAAGAAGGCAACGGCACACCACAGGAAGACAAGGCCGAAGAAGACTCAGCTTTGGGACATCAAACGTGGGCCCACTGTCTACCCTCCTCTCCCACCCCTCCCTCCTGACTGGACTTTCCTCGTCAGCGATGACGCTGTTGCTGTTGCCGATCCTCCTCCTCAGCCACTCGTAACCCAGTAATCTTCTTCGTTAATTCGTACTCTATGTTATAATTGAGTCGACTCTGTTTTTATTTATTTTTTATTTTTTTATTTTTATGACATTTGATCCTTTATGTTGCCTCTTTTCATGTATGCCAGTGTGTTTGTCTGTGTTGTTTTGGTTTTTGATGAATCAAATTGTGAAATGTAATTGAGTAGAATCTTTCATAGCTCATTTTCGTTGCCCACAATCTGTTTGACGTTAATCCTAACAGAATTGACTACATAGAGAGAGAGTGCCCATAATCTGTTTGATGTTAATCCTAGAAGAAATGAGTATTGCTGAAAGATAAGAGGAATTCAGTGTTGTTAAATGCACACGTAGCCTCCAGGCACACTTGTGCCTGTTACATGCGCAGGTGCCCCCTTTAATTTTTTAGTTGTGCGCGCCTGTAATTTAATTTTTCAATTGTGCCAAATCTTGCGTCTAGGGCTACAAAGGAGAACTTGGTGCCATCAACATTATAATAATCGTCCGTCATGCCCGCATCATTTTGCAGAAAATATGATGACTATCTAACTTAAACTAGAAAACAAGTTATTATGACAATAATCGGAATTTAATAACTCAGTTGTCACATATCCAACTCAATAATTAAAAAGATTTTGTGCCATTTCATTGCAAGGCCATGGTCTCAATCCTCGCACACATATGTACATTTAACATTTGTCCCTTTCCTTCAATCATTTCACATACGTACATTACCTTAACCCATCTTATCAATTCTGATTTCGAATATCAATTTTATTAGCCAAAAAAAACAACCCCTCTTCCAACTTTTGAATTGTGGAAACAAAGAGGAACCATAACAAGCATACATGGCAAGAGTTGCAAAAACAAAGGCTGACACGTCATGAGAAATGTAATTTGGGTACCATGACCTGTAAATTCCGCTTTCTGTGTCACTTAGCAAGCACTTTATCAATAAGTAGCGAATTTCATATCCCCCATGATGAGCAAACCTTTCAAGTGAAGTACAAATAAATGGGCTCAATAAGTTGGAATGAGGGCAGCACACCCTTGAGGTTGGCAAAGAATGTAAAAAGCTGGTTAGCTTTAATAACAAACCAAGTGTGGTGTTGTTACACACCCCACAATTAACAAGTTGGACAAACATTAGCCACTCTATATGAAATGTAATAAAATGGGGTTGTGAATTCAACAACTGCTCAAAATCATCTAGAAATAACACAAAACTGGAGGTAGACTACAATTAAGGCATTATCCAGCATGGTCACCACTAAATCCAGCTAGTGACCTAACTTTGACATGCCCCAGTCTCAAAGCCACATTCTCACAATTGGCATCCCGAGTTTTTACCACTGCACCAAGCAAAGGGGTTAAAACTAAAAAATAATAATAATAAAAACTTTAAAAACGAATAGGTGCTCTCAAACTTATTAAATAGAGATGTTTACAGTATAGTTTTTTCTGAAGGAACTATATCCTTGTTGGCTGGGCTGCAATAATAGACTGATAGTTAGCAACTTCCTACAATTCTTGTGCAAGCACCACCAGCCTAAGCGCACAATTGTACAACCCAAATATGCATAGCATTCTTTCCTGCAATGTACTCGTTGGGCTGATACTCGTTTCGAATCAAGTGTGTTCCTTTTACTACCACAAAGGCTCTTCGATAAGTACTAACAGTGCGTATCTTGTACTTTATTTTTGCGGTACTTGATTTGCGCTAGGCCCAATAGGAAGTCTGTAAATATGTGCTCGTATTCAGGCATTTTCCCATACCCTGTAGAATATATTAGATACCAATATGAGAACAATAAAAAAGCTCATGCCTTCAAATGTTAACAAAGAAAATTAAGTTTCACATCAATGCGGGGGAGAAATTCAGTTACAAAGGCTATACTTTTAGATGTCTAGGCATTGAAAAAGAAAAGAAAAAGATGTCCACCAATTTCAGAGAACATTTAGATAGCATGCATAAAAAGAAGAAAGAGATATCCAGTGATTTTAGAGAACACTTAGATAGCAAAAAGCAGTATTGCTAACACAAAATTAGCAGAAATGACCTCTACCAGCAGAAGTGGAGAACCAATTACAGTAAAGATATGATAAGGATAAAAATTTAACGTGGGTGGCAAGATGTAAGACATGGGTTTTCATTTACCAGGGAAATAGTTGATATCGATGACGTAAAACCGGTCTTGGACCCCATGTTCTCTAATCATATCTAAGTTGAATAACCGAAGGCCCTATAAGAAGACGACAATGATAGAAGTTATAAAATAGTATATATGAAGAATGTGATAAAATACAAATACTGCATGTATAACCCTGAAATGAATATAAAGTTAATACTGCTGCAGAATTAGAGAATATTCAAAAGATACCAGCCGACGACGAAGTTCCTTGGCAAGTCTCTCGAGTAAAGGTCGAGGGGGAAGCTCTGTAGGCGAAAAGAAATTGGCTAATAAGTGCCCTGCTGAGATCTAAACATGAACAGCTAACTTTAAAGATCTTAAAGTAAGTGAACGTCACTGTTGATGCCTTCAGGACAATCATATGTGCAATAACAAAGTTAAGCTAAAACGCAACCTATAAGGAGGAAGGCAAATTGGCCAAGGGACTCAAGCTTCCAGACCACCCCCACCAATTGCTGACCCCTTATATCATACACGTGTCCGCTCATGAGAACCCACGCACACATTTCACAACTGTATGCATGCAACAAAAGGATCACCAAGGGTCATAACTTAATTGTATTTCCTCTACCTCCCAAAGTGCAAAGTAGAGTTCCAGTTTCCAAAGGAACAAACTGAGTACGCGAGTTATTTGTCAGGATTAAAATATATATAAAAAAAAAAAAAAAATGCCAACAAAAGAAGGTTTTCTGCTGGAGGGGTGACCTCACCTGCGACCCCTGGGTCTAGAACTGCATCATCAGCAGATTGTGCAGCACCAGATACTCTTGGAAAGCGAAATACTCCAGCATATTTGGACAGCTCCCTTTTGCAAACATTAGGTAAGGAGAAACGCCTGACAACTTTAATAGCTTCCCCAATGATGTAAACCTTGAAGAGAACACCTCCTAGGACAACCAAAGTGATGCCGCTTCCATGGTTATTCATTCACTCAATGACAATAGTAAGTGTATTAAACGATGCATGAATTAAAGTTGCATACCATGGTTGACAAACTCCTGTAGAACAAGTGGAGGTTCAAGTTTCTGAAGGGCATATTGATCATAAGCCAGTGATAGTTCATGGGACTTTGCGCTTCCATCAACAACCAAAGGTTTTGCAACTGGAATAAAAAGAAGTACGCAATTACAAAATTTTCATGAAAATAATAAAACACTCCTAAGTTTCCTAATTTTGACAATAACAAATCATATAGGTCAGTCAACCAAGACAAAAGCATAAAACATAGAGCATAGGTTAATCTTAGATAACATGTTTCTACATCTGATTTTAGAAATGTTAACTACAGTGTACTTTGTACTGAAGTGCTAGCAAGAATTGAAGCATAAGCCAGGAACCTATTAATGAAGTGCTAGCAAAAATTGAAGCATATGCCAGGAACCTATGCACTGAATGCAATCAACAAACAGCAAATACAAGCATACCAAGAGGTAGAACCAGCCCAGCTTTATTAACTGCATCAGGAATAGAGGATGGGTCTCTTTCAATAAACAATTGCTTTGGTACACGAACTTTGCCTGCATAAGAGTTGAGCATGTCAATTGATTATACAGAATGACAAAAACAACAATGTAGGCAAACTACCTCAGTTGCCACTCTTATAATATATCAACCCAACATCAAGGACCAAAGGCTTGCTGGGTAAATTTCAGGAAGATAACTATTTTCCACATGCCCAATTTCCAAGAAAAATAGTAGAAAATTTACCACAGACATCAGACAAGTTCAGATCAGCAACATCCTGAAGCATGGACTGGCGATTGTATACATGCTGTATGGCATCTGGAGGATCAAGGACTGTGACTTCTGGGTGTGTTAGCCTGTAGTCCTTCAAATATTGGCAAAAAATGATAAGGAGTATAAAAAAAACAAGTAACTGTACATAAGATCACATAAGAGAAAAAGTATGGAAGTACATTAAAAAAAAAAAAGAAAAAAGAAAAAGAATTGTACATGGGATAACATCCAGGGAGGAGGAAGAGAGAGAGTGAAGAAACAGAAGGAATTAAGACTACAATTCCTTGTGTATTATTGATACTATTTTGTGCAAAAAATTGACGGGGAACATTCAGCATCATAGATACCTTATCACCAAATAGGTACTGAACTACTGATAGCAAATGGACAAAAGCAAATTTGTAAAATCAACTTTCACAGTTACAATCACTTCTGCGTGACAAATATTCCACGAGCACTTTAAAATCATGTCAATCACAAAAAGTAACATAATTCATAAACACAAAAAACATTTTTACCCTGCAAAATCTCCAAATCTTTGCAATTCAATTTTGACAGTTACAATCACTCGACAAATATTCCACCATCACTTTAATCACGTCAATCACAAAAAGTTATATTTCACACTCAAAAAAACACTTTTACCCTGCAAAATCTCCAAATCTCTTTTACCCAAGAAGGAAAATAATAGGACCTACTTTATACTGAAAAAATGACTAAGATTAACCTGTTGATATAAGATTAGTTTAGGTCTCCCCTGCTCAGATGATATGAGAGGGTAGCAATATAACCTGAAAAAATGAAATTATTTAAAGAAACTGAAAATCTTCTGCGAAGGAAATAGGGAAAAAAAGAAAAGAAAAGAGAAAAGGCTTAGAAAACAGTCCATGGGTAGGTTTGACCACAATGATTCATGATAGGTTAAATAGCCAGTATTTTACAAATTATGTCAGGCATGAAAGAGTTCAAGCATTAAGAAATCTGATTGCACAGCAGACATTATAAATGCAATTTTTTATAACCCCCGCATGAGAAAATTCGATATTATGTCTAAATAAATCAAATAGTATACCAATCAAGTGGCATTCTAATGAAAATCAACACCAAAGGTGAGGCATAATAATAATTAAAAAAAAAACAATATAGTTGGCAGAAGAAAGGAAACAGGAAGGAAAAAGTTTTAGAAGAAGACCTAAGCAATAAGCAGGGGATTACAGTATACTAGTATACTAACAAGTTCTTATAATAAACTTGAACATATAATGATGTTTAAATGGACCAACCTCAAGAATCTGCTGCCACTTTTTTCCTGATAACTGCATTAAAAGAATAAGAGAAAATTTTTTCAGAAAATGATCGTCATCTTATCCCCATCGATGAATATTTTTCCTAAAAGATATGCAGAAGGTAAGAATAAAAATATATTGACAAAATATTTGCATGTTCACTCACGTGAATGTGTGTGAGCGCAAGAATGCGTAATTGTGTCTGTTAGAAAGAGATACATAATAACCATCACCAACCCCATGAGAGGTAATAATTGTAATCAATCATAAGTCATAACACAACAAAATAGAACAAGCAACTCATAAAACATGAAAAGCATCTGGGACCTTCATGGTAAAAATAAAATTAACATACACAGACAACAGAGGATGTGGTAATACAAACATAAGTTTCCACTAACCTTGTGCAAAACAATGTCAAAAGGACCTTGATCTGAGAGAGGTCTATTTTGGTCAATAGCAACAAATAAAATTCCCTTGTTCCTGCATGGAACCATTTATGCAATTAGCTTCTTATTGATGATTGAAAACAAAGAGAAATATAGTGAACATGCTAAAGATGGATTGAATTATAATTATACAGGCACCGTTTTCTTAATGTATACAATGAAAATCCAAAAAAAAAAAAAAAAACAAAATCATAGAATAAAACAAAAATCAATAGCACAGGTCAACAACATCCGAGGAAATTATACTATTTCAACTTTTTTTACAATCATTAGCGCCTGCCATCTTATCTGATGATAGTTTCATTTTAAATAATCAAGATGCCAACCCCATTCACAACAGCAAATTAGTAAATAACAAAATACAGGACAATTCAAATTCCACAGACATCCAAACATGCCAAAAGCTTCTCCTTTCACAGTGAACTAGTAAAGAGGTATCAGTCTTATGACCCATAAAACAACAGAATATAAACTCAATCAACTGGCCCATACAAACTGAAATTCAACAAACATTGAGAGGTTGCCAGGATAGGGAATGTTTACATTTTGACAAGATAACTCCGAGTGAGAATTAAATATTTATATATAAGAAACAAACTAGACAAATGAATCAGACTTGCCTAAAGCGACAATTTTGTACACAGAAAATATAACTCCTAAGTACAAGTATTGAAAGAAACTGAGGAATGAAAACAATATTTACAATCAAATTTAATCTTACCGACAAATCCCTTTGATCATAAAGATTTTTATAATAAACTCAGCAATAGATTTAAAACAAAATAAGATAACTAAATTAGAGATTATAAAAAACAACAAGAGTACTGTCTACATATAAATTATTTATCCCACTAAACCCACAGAGGTAGCCTAATGGTAAGGCCCTGACCTCACATATTGGAGGTTGGGAGTTCAAATTCCCTTGGAGGAACCGAGAGAATTCTGGGGTGCATGTGGAATGGGAGGAGTTTATGTGCCTCATGGTGGACTATGGGATACTCTAAGAGGCCCTACATGACAAACTTATATATATATATATATATATATATATATATCCCATTACACATTAATACTTGGAAGTACCGTGCTCTACATTTTGGTTACCAAGAAAACAGAGGGTATGAAAATAAAAAACAAAAAACAATATAAAAAAATCACAATCAGTACATATTGGTTCAGATGCTTATTGAGAAATTCCAAGGATATACCAATCTGAGATATTTAGAACCAAGATCGAAACAAAAGAAGGAAAAAAGAATTAAACCACCATGCAAACAGCTTAGACATCAATTTGCCAACAATCATTCCAACTTCGGAATACAAATTCAATCAATATTCGATTCACAGCTAAAGACACTTTAATCATCACCAAGAAGATTAGCACACAAGAAACACAAAATTCTTTCAAAGAACCAAAAGAAAAACACACAGGCTCATATGTGTGTGTGTGTGTAAACACACAAAGAAAGAGAAAAAAGACAGTAAGAACAGACTTGACTATCATCTGTAAACTATAACAAATTATTACAATGTATCCCAGTCACAATTTCAAAATTTTCCATCGTTTTTTTTGTAATTAAAAAAGCTTAATTTTCTCAAATTCGTCGGACTTAACAATCTCCCAACTTTGGTCCAAAAGAAATACACATCTATAGGACTTATACATTCTCGAACAATGAGAACAATCCTTATCGAAAAAAAGAACAGTAAAAGAGACATGTCGATTAGGGTTTTGTGATGGATAAATTACCTAGCCAAAACTTCAAGCTTGGGTTGCAAAAAGCTTTTGGTCTTCTTCGATGTAAGAGCATAACCAACCACAATAGCTTTCATTGCTGGTGGAAACCCTCCTCCAACCCTAGAAATCTGCGACGCCATCTCTTCCACTCTCCTTTCCTGATTCTTACATTCAATTTCGTCCTTAAACTTCATTCCTGAGTTCAAACAACAATAAATATATATATATATATATATATATATATATATATATATACGTGTGTCTATATTTATTTATGATTGTATGTTGAAGAACGAAACCCTAATCAAAAGATAATATAATTGAAAGAGAATGAATCAATCCTTTAAAAAAGAGCAGATCAAGAAAGTATTTGATTCGAGGATTTCTTTCGGAGACTCTGTTAGGAAGGAGATATATAGATGATAAAATACGTGACAGTTCATGATTTACTAAAAAAAAAAAAAAAAAAAAAAACGTAAATTAGAGCAACTCTAATGCTCTCTCATTCCGACCTTTCAAACTTAAAATATGAAAGTTAAGTAAAAAAAACCCTTTCCAATGAGCTATTATTTAATTCCTCAAAATTTGAGACTTCTCATATATGACAACTGTCAAATTTTTTTGACAAGTCTCTCATTCCCCAAAACGGTATCGTTTCTCACCAGTCATCACCCACACGCATCTCTATATATGTATAATATAATATAATATATATATATATATATATATATATAAAATATAATATAATATACATATATAGTAATATACATATATATTATATATAATATATATAAATTTTTGGAAAAAAAAATTATATAAAAAAATTAATTCACAAATAGTGGTAAAAAAATTATAAAAAATTTGTTTTTTGTTTTTTGTTTTTTTGTTTTGTTTTTTTGTTTTTTTTTTTTTTTTTTTTTTGTCCTTTTTTGACTAGATATTTTAGATTTGTACTTATTTTTAATTAGGTTTAATTTTAGTTTCCTTTTAAAATCTACAACTTGACTTAGAATGTGCCTAATATTAATATTACTGATGCAAATATGAATGGTGAGAATAGTAGTTTAAAAAGAATAGTGGTTATGTTAAAAAATAGTATTTTGCGTGAAATGTACCATTGGAGTAGAATTGTTAAAATGTAGTCTTTTGGCACTGTAGTACCTGTCAAAATATAGATTTGGCATGCAAAAATAGGTTTTAGTATTGGAGATGCTCTTATAAGGCCTAATTACAAATAAATTAAAGATTTGTCATTTTGTTTTTTGTTTTTCTTATGGAGACCCCTTGTAAGATTTAACCAATTTACTATAAAAAAAAAGTAAATTATAAGGCCTAATTACAAATAAATTAAAGATTTGTCATTTTGTTTTTTGTTTTTCTTATGGAGACCCTTTGTAAGATTTGATTACATGTTTTTTTACGCCAGTTTTATTTATCTACCCTTATTATTATACTGTTAAAAAAATTGAAATATCTAAAAATAATAAATGACTATTTTGTCCAATTACATACAATGAAGGACTAGAGTTGAGGCACCTAAGATTGAGGACTAATATAGTCATCTGATTGTGGATTGGGCCTAATAGGGGGTGTTCTTGTGCTGAGCGGCAAACACAATTTTGTTTTTTATTCTCCGAACTAAGACTTACTTACCTACTGAGTAGATGGTTGTGATACTTCAAAATTTTCACGTATAGGTTGATCAGGCCCACGTTCAAAGACCTGGGATATCAAAAACAAACTGGCAATAAACGAACACATAATACAAAAGGAGAAATAAGAATAGATAAAATGCTGAAATGAAAACTAAAATGATAATCCAATATTTAAATCCTCGGAATAGATTTCCATTAAATAATACAACTAATCTTTCAAAAATACAATTGGGGAATTCCTATTGTGTGGACCCCTAGAAAATCTCAAACTGAACAAGTAACAGCAATAACTTTCTACATTAGAATACAGAAACATAAATGAAATTCCTATGAAGAATCGAAAGAGTGAAGCAGATTAGTTTGTGCTCAGCACGAACAATCTTTACACTTGACGAACACCTAAAAAATAATAGTGGGCTAGGCGCACAAATAAGTTATACTCTACTACATCCCAAATAGAGACCTGATACACATATACATGTTAGTTCCCTTAGCAATAATTTCATAGCCCGTATATATATAGATACACACTAAAGGACTCTCACTGAACTATACAGCGGCCTCAACTTGAATAGTAGGTAATATGCAAAACGCACATATAATGTGCATAAGCACCACGACCTACCAGGGCACACAACTATCCATTATATCCAGCTATGCATCCCAGATAATATATGCTTCCTAACCACCGATCTTAAGACTCAAGCTTATATCGTGGCACATATCCATATATATATATATATATATATATATAAATCCATCCTAACTGAAACAAAAGTAAACTATCCGCCATAGTCTTTCAATGACATATCATCAACTGGTTCCATGGCCTAACACAAATAGATGAGACTAAACTTATTAGCCAGCCCATTCATAATATGCCCCCATATCCTAACAATGGTGCGTTAATTCGAAACCATATCCTGACAATGGTTCCCACACAATCCAATAAATGATGCAAGAATATAAATACATCAAATGATCCAGGAAAAAACATGATAATTACCATACAAATATCCATTGCATTTCAATATACAACTTTAAGTAACATGTAATTAACTTACAAACAAGTAATTAACTTACATCTCAATTAAATTGTATAAATCTTCATGTCATTGCATATTATTGTATATTATGTATTCTATGAATTAATTAACTCATAAGTTAACTAAAATTCCATTATATCCTCAATCCTTAGCGTATTAATTTATATTATGCATTATGGGAGTTAATTAGGTCCATTTAAATCATTTAAATCACCCAATACGAGCTAAGTAGCTTTAGAAACCACCGCAAATAAAATCAGAACCCCAAAACCCATTCTGTCACTTTGCCTAGTAAGAGAGCCGGCTCCCTTGAAAGGGAGCCAACTCTCGACTTGTTACCTCTATCTTCTTCGTCTTCGGCGACCTTAAAACGCTCCGATCATCTTCGTTAAGGGTCCTAATGGTCCGTACTAAGTCCCAAAAGATCCCAATTAATTATTTAAAGTCATTATGCATCATTAACACAATTTAAAACAATTTTACATGCAAGAAGATTCATGTAATGACCCAGTCATTTTCCTTCCTTTTCTTTTTCTGAAATTTTACGGATAAATTTTTTCCGTTTAATTTTCTTTTCTGAGTTCTGTTTCTCATCACTGAGTGTCATCTTGAGTGCTCGGAAATGGTTTCTGAGACTCTTTCGTTCGGATTGACAACTTCCTTTAAGGGCCGAGTCATTTCCGCATTTTCATTTTTTCGACACTATTCACTTTTCGTCCTTTTTCCTATTTCGTCCTTTTCCCTATTCAGTCTTTTCCCCATTTGTCACTTTGTTGGCACAGCCTCACTTTTCGTGCCCAGAATTAGTTTTTGACTTCACGTATCTTCAGTCTAAGTGGTTTTCACGAAATACGTATCTTTACTTTTGCACGAAAGTACTCTGGTTGCTTCCGGTGTCCATGGGGGCATGGATGCACAGTTCTTCAGAATTTTTTTCTTTTCTTGAGGTGTTTTTCATAAATATCTTTTGAAGATATTTTATTTCAGAGGTTTTTAAGAAAATATTTTTGGAAGATATTTTAATTCTGGGGCATTAGTGCAGTTTTCACTTTTTGGAGGGGCCATTGTGCAATTAACGAAAGTTATTGCATAAATACCTCATTTTGAGCCTGGATCCTGGTACGGGATTCATTTTCACATTTCGTCAAGTCGTGTACTCTTAGAATTTTCTTTTGGTCATTTTTCTCCAGTTTCAGAGTTTCTGGCCTCGGTTGTTGTCGAACTTGTTCGGGACATATATCTCTACTCGGGACTCAATTTTTGACGCCGTTTCTTCCGTTGTTCATATTTTCTCATTTCAAATTTTTTTTGTTCACGGAGTTTTGCCGTTTGAGCGCGTTTGCTCAAAATCCACTTTTCTGGACCCGACGGGACCCTTTCGGGGCACTTTTTGAGATTTTCTATAAATAAGGGAGTCTTAAGTCAAAAAGTCAGATTTTTTCATTTTCTTCCCCCTCTTGGCCGGCAGCCATGGGAGCCCAAGGGGCTGCCTTCATTCTTTCTTCTCATCCACTTGATTTCTTTAGTGAAAAGTCTTCGGCCTTAACATTTATCGTAGGCCTTGATGTGTTATACCTTTCCCCCTTATTAGAACCCGTTTTTGGCCAAATTTTGAGTTCGGGTTTGAAGCCAAGTTGTGATTTTCATCGGGCTTCCTTGGGATTCTTGTTCACCGTGTTGTCCCTGACAAAACCCTTCGGTATTGTCGGATTCGGAGCACTTTTCTTTCGGTGGGGATTTGAGATTTTTATCTCAAATTGAGGTAGGGGGTATTATAATTTATTTTCTTGTTATATTGCATGCTTGTGATGCTTATACAACTCATATACATGCTTGGATGTCAAATTTAGAATTTTTATTTATTTATTTTCTTGTATGAGATTTGATTTTCCTGGTGGGTTATAGTATGTTTTAAACTTGTGGCATGGCATTATAGTACACCTTGATATGGTCATTGACATATATTAAATTTAGAGCATTTGGACAAGTATTAAAATTTTTATTTAATATTTATCTTGAGTAAATATTTAATTCACGTGGCCTTAACTAGCTAGAAATTAATATGTGTTAGCATATTATATTAGGCCCTAGCATACTCTTCAATATAGGTGAATTTGAGAGAAATCGGTGATGTTTTGAAATCTAGTAATATTTAATTAATTTGATTAATTAATTTATTCCATGTGTACTATTCACTCTATTGAGATTTTGACTTGATATTATTGATGTGCATGCCATATGATTTCATATATATTATTTTGAGAATTTTTAGACAACTTTAATTTTTAGAGAAATTAAATAATTAGGTTAATTAATTTCTACTTAGTGTTATAATGATTTAGTCATCTATTTCATGTGGCTTTTGTCTTTTTATCATGCATCATGACTTGTATCATGGTTTCACTAATGTAGTTATTGAACTTACACGATTGTCTTGGAGTGATTTAATTATTCATGTATGGCTAGGTAAATAATTAAATCATGTGTCTTATATTAGTGGTATACTTGCATCAATGAATTCTATGTGCTATATATCCTAGTTGGTAGTCCATGTAGATGTATACTATGATTTCTTAACATTTCACATGCCATGATAGTTGATAACTTAAGGCATGACTTGTGTGTTTCCAAAATCTCGGTTGTGCAAGAAATGTGCATAATGCATTACTTGTATCTTGATGCTATCTTGACTTGCATGACTTGTTGATTTTGAAAACTCGGGGATATCAATCAAGAAGTGACATGGCTAGGACTTGGTTCTAGTACGGGAGATAGAGAGCTCCCTACACTATCGTGCATGCTAGGGGAAGGTACCGT